ACAAGTTGGCCGACAATAATAAATGCATTGGCGAAGGATTGTGTGTGTGATATGCTCTGTTGAAAGAAAACAATAAAAGTACCATGCAGGAATGTACTGGTCCAGCACTGGGAGGGGAACGTATGACCAGACCAGCAGATTGAATCAGATTGCACATCCAGAGTCACAGAACTGGAACGTATGTTAATGGACTCCTCTGCAACTGTGTGCAACACACACTTACCTCTACACACTGCTGTGCAAATGTTTGCAGGACTATTTCATTCTTAAACATTCTGACTAACACAGACAAAAAGCTTGGGAGCATTTGGTTTGTTGGAGTGAAGACAGTATGTGGTGAACAAGAATACGATGCTTTTAAATCAGAGGTGTCCAATCCTGGTCCTCGAGGGCCGCAATCCTGCAAGTTTTAGATGTTTCCCTCTTCCAACACACCTGATTCAAATGATCAGCTCATCATCAAGCTCTGCAGAAGCCTGATAACCCATCCATCCATCCATTATCTACACACCGCTTAATCCTCACTAGGGTTGCAGTGGACTGGAGTCTATCCCAGCTAACTTAGGGCGAAGGCAGGGGACACCCTGGACAGGTCACCAGTCTATCACAGGACTACACTTAGAGACAGACAACCAAGCACACTCACATTCACACCTACGGACAATTTAGAATCACCAATTAACCTCAGCATGTTTTTGGAGAGTGTGGGAGGAAGCCGGAGAACCTGGAGAGAACCCACGCTGCACGGGGAGAACAAGCCTGATAACCATCCTGATCATTTGAATCAGGTATGTTGGAAGAGGGAAACATCTAAAACTTGCAGGATTGCAGCCCTCGAGGACCAGGATTGGACACCCCTGTTTTAAATGATGTATAGTCTGAATGGGCCGATTGCTTTGGAAATACAGAAGCAGAAATCTCACATATTCGAGTGTTAAGGGGTTGTTTTCACCTTTCGACTGTGGATATTGAATTCAGATGTGTCCTTACAGAGCAAATATTTATTTTTTTTGCTCCGCTCAGATAGCAAATGGAATTCCACATCATAAGGTACAGCCTTACTGTCTGCACTTACTGTCGCAAATGTCACCGCATCCCTCCGCATGCTGTAAAAAAGCTGACATTTAGAAGCTCTATTCATACACCTTCGTTCATATTCTTTCTGTTTTACTCTCATGTCCGTCGTCTGCACCTTGTTGAGTCGTGTGCTAGAACAAGAAGACAGACAGTTTAATGTGAGAAAAGTTAAGTGTTAGAATTTAAATGCTTTTTCCTTCCCCTTTTTGCTTTTAAAAAAAAAGCACCAGCCATGTGATATTTGCAGAACTGTTTCCAGGTGCTGTGTAACCCCAGGCTGCAGGGAACACACCACATTGGAGCGCGGCGCTGCTGTCTGAAACAGTCTCTCCAAACATCCTCCTGTCTCATGTGTCACCCATGGCTGACAGCCTTATCAAGGAGTCATCACAGAGCTGTCACCTACGAGGGGCGTCTGCTGAACGATGCTGACGTCTTTTTTTGTAGGAGAAGAAGAGCAGTCAAGTTACGATACAGTTTCTTTTTTTCTTTCCCCTTCCTGGAGAATTCTCGTCTGTACAGTGAAGGAGGGAAGTCCAAATTAGGAGTGAAGGCTGGCGGCGAGTGAATCAGCCGAGCAGACTTCACACCACTGATGTTTGGCTGAGGGGAACGGAGCGGCTCTACAGCATTTATCATATAGCTCAGGGGTGTGCTTACTGTAATATTGTTATGCTAATGCCGCAGCTGATTAGCATGCTGAGACCCTCAGGTATTGGACCATTATCGCAGTGAATCCTAAAACAGAAGCTTTTGTAAGTGGATATTCTCCGGTCATTTCACCACACAAGCAGAGCAAATTAGTGGAAGCTAAAACGCTGGATTGTGTGGCGCTGAAGAGGGAGATTGTTATCGCGTCCCTTCCAAATGCTTTACAGGTAACGGCAAAAGAATCATCAGAGATTAACCATGATACTAAATCGTACAGTTGAAAAAAACGAGACCCTTTCCTTGCGTGGTTTTAGAGGGTTTTGGCAAAACAAATCATACATACAGTGATTAACACATTTAAAAGAGCACCTGTCCAGTTTGTTAAGCACTGCATGTATATAAATAGAGCATCCAGCATCATGAAGTGCTTTAGTTCACACTCAGCTCTCTACGTTTTACCGTTTTGAACAGAAATGAGGAATTTCAAACTGAATTCATCTTTTAATGCCTAAAATCTGAGCCACTGGGCTTCTCTGAGAAATGAGTCAAGCTTAACATTCAACCACTAAAATTCAATTTTCTGTTCAGGAATGCAAGTAAATAACTATAAATTGACATCTCAATCAAGAAATAATAATGTGCTCGACTGTTTTGTTCTGTTCATTTGTAAAACAGTAAATTTGAAACTTCATGGATGACAATAATAATTATATTTTAGCTTTAAAAGTATTATTTGGGTTAAAGAACTTCTACGTACTGGTGTATGAACCATGACAGAAACATAAGAAATTATTGAGGTAATTACCAATGTTGTTCATTTAGGGCAGGTTTGGCATAAACCTGACATTGGGTGGTGGTCTAATAAATGTATTTAGCACTGTGTATTTAAATTTAAAATGGGATATTCAAAGGAAAGGGTTGTGAATGTTCCTTTAGCTATAAATCCTTCGTCAAACATACTTCAGGGAGAAATATTCTGAAATGTCCCCCAGCACACTGCTCAAGAGAGTTTCATGGCTTCACCTAGAGATCCTCAGCAGTATTGCACTTTAACACGGTTTAGGATTTCTCTTTATTTCAAGCCACAGTTGTTGCTTCTTTATATACAAGCATGTGTAAGTCCTCTGATAGGAGTAGGAGTCCACAGCGGTCTGTGGACAGTTTTTCAGTTTTTTACTGAGATTTCCAGCCCTCAGCTGCTCTCCAGACGGAGCTGAAGAACACAAAAACAATCCTCAGAGCTTCAGTAGAAGGCTACTTCTCTGTTTGATGACTCAAGTTGGTAATGATGGTGAAATTTTCCTGGAAAGGATCTCTAGTCTGATGTGAGTCTGTATAGGGATAGGGAGTTCCCATCAGTCAGCTGGAACTGAAGAGGCTTCTCAGATTAAAGGTGAAACATCTTCAACAACCAAAAGGAGAAGTTTAGCTGCCTTCTGCTGAAACTCGTAGAAATACCGCGACCTTTGATGACTCAAGTTGGTCATGATGGTACCTGGTAACTGGTGTCCCAGTCCTCTGTTTGAGACCAGTACCTCCCCCCCGTCTCAATCATCTGTCTTCTGGTCCAGAATGTGAACATTGCCATCCTCAGAGGAGAGTCCTTAATCTTTTAGATGCAGGTGAACATCTGTGTGCTCTAAGTTGCTCAGTCTTGAGTCATGCTTGAATGCAGTCCAATGCAGCGTGGGGTTCAAGGACCTATATATAGGGAAGACTAAACAACCGCTTCGCAAGGCTCAACACAGGAGTGTGACCTGTATGTTGAACTGGAACAGCCAGCCCTGGGAGTCCGGGGTAGGTAAAGAAAAAAAACTTTAAAATGTACATATTACCATCAATGTCTTTAAAATTAAGTATGAAAAATTGTACGGGCCTCTTCTATCAAAGCATTTATAAACATCCAATATGAGATTTTGACTTAGGAAAGTACCACAATAAACCATGCTCCTGTGATGGAAAGTTTCTCAGATGGTTTCTGGATATTCAACGCTCCAACTGGATGCGGAGATGAGAATATGGAATGGATATGAGCTATGTGACTTAAGGGTGAGGATGTGTATAGGGAGTTCCCATCAGTCAGTTGGAACTGAAGAGGCTTCTCAGATTTAAGGTGAAACATCTTCATGAACCAAAAGGAGTCCAGTTGCCTTCTGCTGAAGCTCTGACGGCTGACGACCTACACAAACAAATACAATAACATTGGTTTATCTATCCACCTCTGAACTCAAGTCATATCGCTTTAGACCTAACCAAGCTTTGTGAATAATCCTGCAATTTAGGGGAATGAAAACTGAAAAAAAAAGCTAAACAGTTGATTAATAATGGACTTTTGTTAGTCAGTTGTCATTTATTGCAGTGTTACCGTATTAGATGGACGTTATATAAAACCATGCTAGAGGCTGATTAGTTGCTTTAATGCCAAATGTCAGGTTTTAGTGGCACTTTAACAAAGCAAGGATTAGCCGTCACGCAGTCCACAGCTTGGGCTGCTGCAGACTGTCGGTTGGATTCTGTGATACACAAGCGCTCTCACCGGTGGCTCGTATGACAGGGAACAGGAAAGCTTTTGTTCTCGCTTCACTCTTACGTCTTCTAAAATAGAAATCCATGCTGTCGCTGTCCAATTAAATTCAGAGAACCTCCAAAAAATCAACGAGGAAAAGCAGAGAATTACCACAAGTAGACAGTGCTGGTGGAGAAAAGCTGTAAAAAAAACCAAAAACTACGGCCGGTGTTCTTCACATAAATCACACTGAAGTTCTGCCTGGCAGCGTCTTCATAGCTCAACACAGTCTGCTGATGGCTGAAGCAGACCGTCTGACTGAATGTTTACTACACATATGCTGATTTTTTTAGTGTAATCCATATGATCTTATGTACGAGTAAGGAATTTATTGTCATTGATAGCAAAGTGGCTGCATCAAAGTCGAAACAGCACCTTTTTAGATTTATTTATTTGACCAGGATTTGGTTTAAAACTCAACGATAATCAGAAAAGGGATCGGAATCGATAATGCTTGCAGACTGCTTTGCATTTTGTATTCTGTGTTGGTATAAGAAGACATTTTAGATAGATAGATAGATAGATAGATACTTTATTCATCTCCAAGAGAAATTTTAATGCTTTGAGCAAGTAGCAATGATTCATCGATGATTAATATATGAGTCATAAATGACGTCATGGTTGTTGAAGTCCTGAATGACATTAATCGGGAAAGAACAAAGGCTCCATCATAATAAACTTGTTCTTCCTTGTGATTTGGTTTTAGGTCTACCAGCGCTCGTACTTGGCATCGTACCTCATCTACAACCTGTATACAAGGTGAGA